GAGAAGCGCCAAATATAGAACCACGTCGCTCAGTATGCGTTCGCGGCAGAAACGAACGCATTGTTTTCGTTCGTTTGATGTTTGTCATGTTTATACTTGTTGAAACATTTTATAATTTGTATGACAGTGATCGCAGTAAAATTCCCTACACAGACATATACATAACACATACAAATATTTCCCACGTGTTGGATATATCAACAGCTAAAGGGAACCCACTGCCACACACTCGCCACACCCCCAAACATACTTTGTGTATTTTTTTTTTTACTCATAGAAATTTATGTGATATAATATTCATTATGGTACCAAAAAATTCGCAAATAAATTCTCTACAAAACAAAAGTATCCCCATCCATTTCGGTTAAAAAATGGAATTTATAGAAATATTTTTTCGATGGACGAGAAAAGTAGGCTGTTATGCGGAATCGTAAGAAAAAATGGCGACGAGTTATCTCTAATCTAAAGCGCGAAAGTGTTAAGGGTAGTGTGTCCTCATGGCTTTCCTCCTACCACCATAACCAGTGATGGGAAACAGCTCTGGTGAGGTTGCGTATTGGCCATATACGCTCGAGATCTTGAGATGATTTCGGGACTTTAGTGTCCTCGCGGCCCGGTCCTCGACCAGGCCTCCACCCTCAGGAAGCAGCCTGTGACAGCTGACTAACACCCAGGTACCTATTTTACTGCTAAGTAACAGGGGCATAGGGTGAAAGAAACTCTGCCCATTGTTTCTTGCCGGCGCCTGGAATCGAACCCGGGACCACAGGATCACAAGTCCAGCATGGTGTCTGCTTGGCTGACTGGCTCCTAACTCGGTCTTAATTGGCTTAACTCAGTCACTTAATGGAGAGCCACCCTGCTCCTTATTGTCCAAATTGCATTGTCCCTCTTACGTGCACATAAGAGGGACTTGCCTGCATAGTCGTGCATATCCTTGTTGAATGTCCCGACTTCCAGGACGAGCGTGTGTCTTGCTTTCCGACCGTCCCTCGCGGTCGCTTATCCCTCGATAGAATTCTTGGCGAATTGGATACTTTTGATATCGTTCACCTTATGTGTTTCTGTTCTCGTATTGGCATCCTTGGTGATATTTAGCGCCCTTTGAATATTCCGCACACTTGATGGTGCTACACAGCCTTCCCGATTTGGTGCCTGCTTTTGATAATTACTTTCTTGAGGAAAATGAGGTTAACCCCATGTACCTGCGGGAGTTTTTAATGTTATGTAGTGCTTTAAAACCTCCCCGATTGTGTCGTGCAGCTTTCGGATCATTAGCGAGACCCTCCCTGGTTGTATCCTGCAGTTGAGCGGTTAATTAATATCGAATATTATATATACCATAGCAAGAGAACCAAATTTGAAGCATTACTGTATAGTTTAAATATCGGTGAAATATTTGCCAAAACAAAAATTGCTCTATAATAAACAATACAGTTTCCCCTAGCATCATGGAGCCACAAAATACTAAATCAGTAATGTGCACTACATAATCCCAAGTCATATTTACACAATATTTGAGGCAATTCACTTTAACCATTTTTATGGTGCAGTTAAATTGTATACATCTGGCTCTAGCATAAGTGTTCAATTGGCAAATTTGACCAAGACTATCCAACATTCATCTGGCACTAAAGCATGTGTGTGTACCATATTTGATGCAACATGGCAGATTTGTCAATGAAATATCAGGAAATGTAAATAAATATTCCCTTACATGCACTTCAAGCAGCTTGGCGGCCGAAAAACAACTGGATATTACAGAAGATATCGCGCAGGATAATGACCATGAATCATATGCGGTAGAAACATTTTAGTGGGAGGGGCAGAGGGGCGGGAGATGATAGAACATGAAGCATTTAATCATGTGGAAGAATCATTTCATTTGAACTCACTGTATATAAGCAGATGGTCCCCATAAATAGGATAATTGGTTATGGCACTATCAAAATACAATAATTATGTATTATTACTGTATTATGATACAGTACACAGTAAAGTATCTGGACCAGTGGTCCCGTGCTAAAACTGGGAGTCGCTCAGCCCTTCTGATATGTTTAATAGAACACACTGCATTAAATTTTATCCCATTACACACACACACACACACACACACACAAATCAAAATGGCTTCATACATCAAATAAACAAATCCACAAGGGCCATGATGAATGTTCGAACCTACGTCTGGAATGATTCCAGATGCGCCTTAGTCGACTGCGCCACGACATGGTCAAAAGAATTGCAACCGGGAGTGCTAACAGCACTTGCTAGCCTAGTACACCCGGTTGCAATTCTTTTGACCATGCTCAGTCGACTAAAGTGTGTCTGGAATCATCCCAGACGTAGGTTCAAACCCTCATCATGGCCCTTGTGGATTTGTTCATTATCTCATTATAATTACTTTTTGATAAAAAAATATATACTTAATTCCTTTACTGAATTTGATTAATCTATAGACATGGCAAAGAAAATCATCAATTAAGGGGCTGAGAAGTAGATAATGTAGGAGCATCATAAGATTAATCATGACATTATTACTCGCAAATGTAAGCTTCTTTTGTTTATACAGGTAAGCGCAAGAGAGCGACATTACTTGGTAACCGGAAACACAGTTATTAAAAAAAAAAAAAAAAAAACATCCATACAAGGTTGCAAGCACCAAATCAATATGCACATGTACACACTGGACCTACTTAGTTCATTCACTTCTATGTTGTGACTGTTGTGCTGTGATTCAGTCAGTCTATTGCAGGTGTCCAGATCAGTCACCAGTGACCTTTTATTAGTTGAAAATAATAAAGTCATAAGAGCATTTCACTATTAATACTGTAGAAAGCATAAAAATGATAAAGATACATATAGTATATTCTTAAAAATATGAAATTGTCTGGAACCAACATTAAATGCATTAAGGTACCTGAAAATCAATAACGGTTTATCTTTACACATTGTATTAATACTGTAATTAAAATCAAAGTGATGGATGTAATGAAATGCCCTTTACTGGTGAGGCTCTCGTTACTGTCCGAAGCTACTTGCTGGCCCAGGCAAGCCTTGCCTACCGGTAGGCAAGCCCAAAATTGTGCACTCTTTATGAGGTGGGGGGGGGGAGACTTTATGGTTTAAAGAATAATCCAAAACCGAGAGAGAAAATACACAAGCACAACAAATCAAGCAACTACTTGAAGAAAGTTATGAACCTAAAGGTGACACCCTATGATGCAACCATCATCAGGTGACAGCTCTGGTCACCTATGGCTATCAGGTGGCCAACCTCCTCAAATCTGTGGCTATTAGGTGCATCACACTTAGGCTGTTTACTCTTCGGCAATGGTCATTAGCCTCATTACCCATGGGTAACTAATTTTCTTCAAGCAGTTACTCTCTTTTTTTTTTTCTTTTGCACTTATGCTTTCTGTAGTTTTTTCCCTCTGTCTTGTTTTGGTTTGATTTCTGATCCCCCAAGCTTTCCTTGCCTCATATAAAGTAAGGTTATGGTGCTGGCTCCAGGTAGGCAAGGATGGGTATTAAAGAGGCCTGGTGCGTATCTCCAAGACTTGACCAGACCAGTGTTAACCTGCGAGAGCTACTGGGGGGGGGGGACCTCTCAAAAAAGCAGAATGTATACTCACAAACATTAAGAAACTTGTAATAAATAAATGAATAAAATTCTAATCTCCATTAAATAATAATATAGTAATTACATAAAATGAAAATCAATAAACGGAATTATTTATTGAAGCAATTCAAGGAACGAATCCCCAGTCCATCGTGCCTCGGTATTACTTGCAATACAAAGAGTATAATGAAGTCTATGCTTGCCAACCGATATTTAATAGTCCAAATCAAAGGGTAGTCATCAGTAAACTAGAACTTTAATGTGTTTGATACAGCATCGGCATGCAGTTTAGGTTAACCAGCAAGAGTACTCAGTGTTTGTAATCTGTACTCTTGTATCTCTGCTGTAAAAAAAAACAGCGAGAGTAGAGTGTTGTGATCCAGAAGGAATACAGATCAGTGCACATTACAAGTTCCTATCAATGTTTGCTGCTGATGCAAAAATTATTAAGGATAATCAGGAAGATTATGAGATGCTATAGAAGCACATTGACAAAGGCAAGAATGATCTAACAAGTAGTTGCCAGTGTTTTAACTACAGAAAATACAAAGTACTGTATATTGTTTGTCCAACTATAGGGCACATATTAAAAATAAAAAAATGGCAAGAACACAAAAATTCTCAGCATCACCATCATCAACACACTGTCCTTCACTACATTTCTCCATCAAAATAGTACCTGCATTGTCTTTAATGGAGAATGCATGTACAGTACTCATATTCGTTACATAAAAAAATACGCTTTCTAGCCCAATTACGTTAATTTATGAATAAGAGGGGGACAAGGGCGGATATCTGTGTTAGTGTAGGGCAGAGTGAACGTGAGTGGGAGGGTACCACGACATGGTGTAAGTTATACAACCTGGGATTCCACTGAATCCACAGGAAGTCTGGAGGCTTCTTCTGAAGCCAGTTCAAGTTTTACATATAACCCCCATACACTCTGGTGTAGATAAAGTAGTCCATCAACCATATGCTCCAGCTTCACATACACAAAGAACTCGTACTAAAGTAGCATCATTTAAATAAGGTTACACTGGGTATGGTTTGGATGCACAATATAAGTAAAGATCGTACAAAATAATGCAATTAACAAAAATATTTGTTAAGTTCCATTTCAATTCATGTAACCAGATTTGCAAGTTTCAAAGCATTATATGAGTGCTGGGAAGACAGGGCACCTCGAGCATAGCTCTCATCCACGTAGGTAAATACAAAATGACTTTCTAAATGGACTATCTAAGAAAATCGGAACAATACGTAGAAACACATGAAAAAATATAAAAATAAATAAAAATTTGAGCGGCTATGTGTGTGGCTGAGGCTGGCTTTGATTTAATCAGCATGCATTAAAAGCAAACCAGTGCGATTCACCAACCTCCTTGTAGCATTTTCGTGTTACTACATCCTTCATGTTTCCCCACACTGTGATGTGCTCACGCTGGTATTTCTTCACTAATTCGCTCACCTGATAAAAAAAAAATCAAAACAAAAAATATACAAAGATGTGCAAATTGGTTATCATGCATTTTTCTTAACTACAGTCAAATTTGCTAAAGAAGTCTAACTACCTACAGTATTCCATGTGTGCACGCTATCTTGAATGTGGCCTGATAAATACTACAGCTTAAAACAAAAATGTTTTCTGAGATGGCTCCAAGGTGGCTCCCTGCTGCTAACTGCCTGAATAGACTGCCTTATCAAATTGCACCAGGTTCTTATGAGTCATTAATAGCTTACTGGAAACCAAAGGCCAAAAACCTGCTTTCCTTTCATCGAGGCACAGAGAGCAGAGAATACTAGATCACTCTAGCCGAGAAAATAATCATCAGAAAGGTCGAGTGAGACAAAGCAGAATACAACAGGGCAAAATTAATTAAAACAGAAAATGAGGCACTCGGTAATTCGGTCATTCTGCTGCTAGTTCCGCCTCCCCACCATCAGGAGATGCTGGCTCAACCTGGGAAGCTGGTCATTCATTCCTTGGTACAATACATTTAGGGATGGCTTGTGCATACATTTAAACAGAATATGAACAATAATGTATTTTTTATATTTAAACAATGGTTTTTGTAACTTTTAGTAGACAAAATTGAAGAGAACAGTACAATATATTTACTTTTGATATCAATTCATTGCTGTCAATCTTGATATCGATGTTAATTGGTGTGTTTGGGAAGTGCTGAAAAGTTTCCTCCAACAAGGGAAATCTCCGATCTTCATTATTACTGCTGAATGTTATGCCTGGCATGAAGTCAATGGGTATCTGTTCTTTAATTGGAGGGAGCTCAGCATAATTGTACTCGGATATTGCTCCTTTCAACTCTGTACGAATGTCAAGGACAGAGTCATGTGACACCACCACTTGTCCGTCTCTAGTGAGCTGACAGTCAAGTTCAAGCATGTCTGTTCCCAAATCAACTGCACTGTAAGAGACATGAAATTTAATCAGTAAAATACAAGTCTGAAACTAATTTTCAGGCAGTAAAATACTGCCTGAAAACAAAGTTTTGCTCGAAGAAGCATCAAAGTGTATAGATAAATACAGTGACAAGAATTGGGCAGTACTGTATGAGAGTACAGGATGTGTCAACAGATTAGGTAAGCAGAAGAAATTTAAACAAATGCTAATAAGAAAGATGAACATATGAGAATGTCAACTGGTGAAGAAGAAATTAAAAATACAGCTCAGTACTGTACTTTTAAAGTTTGGTGGGTAGAATTGATGAAGTGCAATTGTAGCCATGATTGGATTTGCAAGATTGCAAGTTAAAAGGCTAACAGATATATCCATGGATGACACGCACAAGATTGCAGAAGCTGAGGCATGCAAATGGTCCAGAATTGATGACGATTATACTGTACAAAGATTAGTACTGTATATGGAAATGGAATAGATTTGAACAATTTATCACAAAACATGGAAAATGAAATACTGTACCAGATAACTGGAAGTTTATTTTAAAAAGATGAACTTAGTGTAAGAATAACACAATGAGCAAGAACTACAGCAGAGGCATTAGTCTCCTAACCCGTAGGCTACAGTATGCACCTGTGAAAGTTTCAATAACCAGGTTCAGAGCCCAGCTTGTATTATGGGTGTTAATGCCATTCACCTGGGCTCTAGAGACTCAAACCCTGGACCTCATGCGTGTGTGAGGCCAAAGCTCTATTGACAAGTCTCCTAGAGCCCTGGTGAATAAAATATATATTTCAACGGTAGTGTGGATGACATTTTACGGGTGTTAATATTTAAGATACTGAAGATCAAGTCAGCTGTTGTATGGTGGTTACCTGCAGTAAACAGAGTTCTCTGTCAATCTACTTCCCACATTTGAAAAATCAGGCGAGTTCTCGGTACTTTCTTAGTCTTCACAGTGAATGTATGGCTATCAACGTTACATCAGATGCCCACCTGTGCTCAGCTTTGCCATGTTTGTAATGAAAATACACATCACTGTAAAGTGTAACCTCGATGATGTGGATAAACTGGTACCTCTAGATATCCAGATAAACAATTAATTCTGGATAATTAAATATCATGCAATGTAGAATAATGGTGTTTTAATAAAAATGCATCACTTTATTGCAGACAATTACAATAAAGTTTTTTGTTATTGGTTTATAAAAAAAGGTGTCTGCTGCTAAGGACTTATACTGACACTACCAGGATAATGGTGGGTGGAAATTTGCAAAAATGTGGTCCCATTGTAATACTCAGTGAATCCAATTACAGTATTATGCAGGGAATTGTGAGACATGGAGGCATCAATGTCTGAGGGTTCCTTCTGGATTGTATCTGGATGGGGTTCTGGGAGTTCTTCTGCTCCTCAAGTTTAACCCAGGGCCAGGCTTGACATTTGAGAGCTTGGTCCAACAGGCTTTTGCTTGGAGCGGCCTACAGGCCCACATATCCACCACAGCCCGGTTAGTCCGGCACTTCTTGAAGAAAACTATCCAGTTTTCTCTTGAAGACATCCACATTTGTTCCAGCAATATTTCTTATACTTGCTGGGAGGATGTTGAACAACTGTGGACCTCTGATATGTATATAGTGTTCTCCGATTGCTGTTTAAGGGGGGTGAAATTGGCTACAGCAAATTTAGTGTAGGCAAGGTGGAGGGTGTGGATGACAAAGTCTATGCACAACAAACAACCACTATTGCCACAATCCCTCACCACTGTCTGATGTTTCCCCCATCAACATATGACCATGGGTCATGACCAGCAAAAACATGCTTGAGCAGGTGAGGCTCTTGGGCCATCATGTCAAGTGAGGCATACAGTACACGAAACAGAGTGGTTGCGAGCATTTTTCAACACAATGAACGGCTGAATGGTGACCAATGCCACTCGCCTCTGTGACCTCACCTGACCCACATTTTGGCCAACAATGTGACTGAATTATAATGAATGACAATAATTCTGAGGATGAGGCAGGAATGGGTGTCTTCCCTCATGTTACAATAGTACCCACTTGGTGTTCTAGGAGCCATACAAAACAAATATAATAGATTTAACCAAGACCCATAACAAGATTCTATCTATTACAGCAGTATTATTAACCCTATTTATATTGCTAAAAAATTGGGCAATAATAAACAAAATTGGCAAATGACAATAACTGCCGAGACCCAGGAGATCAACAAATAATAATGGCTGCAAGTTTGGGTTTAGAGAAAACTCATTTTAGATTACTTCTGGCTTTTGCTTAGGTCAACTACAACTTTAATAACATTAACTTTATTTGTGTTTATCTAAACGTACAGAGGTGATTCACAGGTGTAGGCTTGTAAATATTTTCAAAAGGTTATACAGGCCTTATCATTACTGTCATTCAAAGTCTGTAAATACTATATAATATCTCCACTATCAGATATAATAAGGAACAACTAAGGATGCTTTTAGACCTAGCCTTCTTTTTATAACTCTTGTGGAAACAAGGGGCTCGCATCCTGTTCTTCCAGTCTCCCGTGATCAGAGACCTTCTTTGAACAAAATCGTGGGCACCCATCTTTGGTGTAAGAGCCTCGGTACTATGACAGCAATCATGGGTCAACCATGCGTATTGCATGTTGCTGCAGCTTGCAGCACTGCCAAACAGCTTTTGCGAGACAGAATCACTTCATAATGACCAATGAATAATCACAGATACTTATGTGATGATACTGACAAAGTAGACCCAAGCAGTGAAAAAGATCACGTACAAGGTTTAGATACTGTATAGCACAATGGGATAGCTGCCAATAAGGTATGCAACAACATTTTCCTGGGTTCCTGTCTGTTAGCCTAAACTGATGAGAGGAAGATATTGAATGTAATGACTTTCAGAACCTGTAGTCAGGGTTGTATAGATTGTAACGAGATTAGTATGTTGTCCGAGTGTTGGTTGAATGTCAGGATGTTGAGATAATTTTCATGTACTTATCTTCTGATTATCTAGCTCCTACCTATATAATGTAACCAGTAATCTAATCTATTTACAAAATAATTCTGAATTCACTAATCTTCTCAGAAGTGGTACAGCAAGTACTAATGTACTATTTGTATGCTGGTGGTATAGTTTGTTGTGGTGATTACAGTAGTGGTGCTTGAAAAGTTGTAGGCCTAGTTTAAACATGGTTATTGCACTTCTTATGGTTGTGGTGGCTGTGGTAGTAGTTGTAATGGTGAGTGCCTGCCTGTTGATGTTGGCAGAAGTTATGGTGCTCAAAGATTTTCAATAGTTTTGAAGATGTGGATGCAGGCAACTTTGCAGTCTCCGTGGTGTAGTGGTAAGACACTCGCCTGGCGTTCCGCGAGCGCTATGCCATGGGTTCGTATCCTGGCCGGGGAGGATTTACTGGGCGCAATTCCTTAACTGTAGCCTCTGTTTAACGCAACAGTAAAATGTGTACTTGGATGAAAAAACGATTCTTCGCGGCAGGGGATCGTATTCCAGGGATCCTTAGGATTAAGGACTTGCCCAAAACGCTACGCATACTAGTGGCTGTACAAGAATGTAGCAACTCTTGTATATATCTCAAAAAAAAAAAAACAAAAAAAAAAAAAACTACTACTACTACTTCCAGCATATTCAACATGTTGACCACCCTCATTGTGTATGAAAATTGTCTTGCTTTTCTTGAGAACATTTGCATTTCAAGCTTCTGTATAGTCATACTTTCCCTAAAATGAAAAGACTGTAATTGTCAATTTTGTTTATTCCTCTCAATGTTTTATACATAATGGTCTTATCTCCACTGATCCTTCTCCCCTTTGAGTTGTCAGACCTAGAAAAATTTCCCTAACAAGAGAAGAGAAGGATTTTCCAATTTGAATTTTTGGAGAAGTGTGAGTTTTCTGATAGAAGGTGGGGGGGGGGGGGGGGGGGGGGGGGGGAATTGAAGAGTTTGGCATTACTTGGCCTGCATTGCCAGCAGTCTTATTTATGCAAATATAAACTGTCACACTGTGCTACATAATTTTAGTTGTAGTTGTTATGGTGCAGATGGAGTCAGATAAGTGTATATACTAGTGTAAGGGGGGAGATATGCCAAGCATATGTATATATGATACCATCACATCTATGACATTATGTCTATCAACTGCAATTATAGAGAATTTTCAACTCTTAACTATTACAGGTATTACGATAAAAATATACACGTACACATAGTACAACAGTAAAGCACGCACACACTACAAAACTGAATAAAATATGTAACAAGTCATGCAATATACTGTACTGATATACTGTACAGTATATATAGTAAAACATAACTGGCTCTATTGCAAAGCTTTCTAGTACATAGTTTGCAACTAATACCTACGAGTATCCTTTGATATTATGGTGCATGTATATCTTGAGGTTATCTCGAGATGATTTTGGGGCTTAGCGTCCCCGCGACCCGGTTCTCGACAAGGCCTCCTTTTTGTTACCCCCCCTTCCCCAGGAAGCAGTCTGCAGCAGCTGTCTAACTCCCAGGTACCTATTTACTGCTAGGTAACAGGGGCATCAGGATGAAAGAAACTTTTTGCCCATTTGTCTCCGCCTCTACCGGGGATCGAACCCGGAACCTCAGGACTACGAATCCAAAACGCTGTCCACCCAGTTGTCAGGTGCCTTAAATATACAGTAGATATTTTGGTTTAACTGACCGAAATGCTATGCACGTTAGTGACTTTGCAAGAATGTAAGAACAGCAATGTTTTGTACTCTCACAATGCAATGTACCTTCTTGTATATAAATAAATAAATACTGTAATAATAAATCAATTACTGTATGCTAATTGTTAAATTCTCACTCTTAAGTCTTCCCTCCACTCAAATAATGTGTCAAAATTATCCTAATGACTGCCACCAAAGATGTTCTTCATACTATTTTACATACCGGTAAGTGCTGAAAGTTTTCAGCAAATACTGCAAATATTGGCATTAATAAAATACAGTACTGTAATGAGGAAATACTGAAGTCCTTCAATTCCATCGTATGGTTTCAATGTTTTTTTTATACATACAACATGTTCTTCTATTATGATGTAAATAAGAATGTTATGAATGATATGAGGCATTCTTATTGGGAAACCTATTGACCAAATACATAATGACTTCCAGATTAGTGTATAAATTAAGAACTGAAATATACTCAATGTACAGTACTGTATGCAAAAAGGCCTAACTTATATTTTCAATAATATCACAGACTCCAAAAAATACAAAAATACCACACTTGCCTTTATAATTTTGGAGGTGGAGTGGGTGAAGGTTTTATGTAGCAAACATAATTATTAGATCATATTCTACTTGACTATTCTGAACAGTATACATGGTAAGGCTAAAAGAGAGGGCAGTAAAGCAGCATGGCCATGTGTGTAGACATTGTAATTCTTACTTACTGTCTGAATGCTGATATTGTGTTTTCATAATTTTCTCCAGCGCCTGAAAAAAAGGGCTATGTTAAGATTAATCATAAATCATAGTAATACAAAATACAATACAGCAGAAAAATAAAGTTATACTGTACTCAATATTACAGATATCTGCATGGTATCCAGAAATCAGCCACCTCACTTTCCTTACCAAATATAATACGCAGCAGCAAATGTTAAGTGATGAATGTAATGAAATGAAATTGCCTTATATAGTGGGCTCCTATAGCTTCACAAGTTTAACTCTGGTCTGAAGCTATAGCCCAACACACCATCGCCTACCAGGGTGCCACTTTCTCTATATGCATGCACCTCATGGTGGCATTTCTCGATGTTTGTATCGGTGATGTGTTTGTACAGGTAGATCCTGCATTTACAGGTATCTTTGGTGCATGCTATTGCATCAGGTTGCATACCTGGTTCTTTCTGGCTTTATTCTCTTGCACTGTGTGCCTAGTCCGTTGGTCTTGCACACTTGTATAGTTACAGGAGTCAAAAGCCCTAGGTGTGGATGGAATTCAAAGTTGTAAAGGAAATGGCAGATGAACTGTTTCTACCATTGAAACGCCTTTCTGGAAACTCTCTGGACCAAGGAATAGTTCCCCTAGACTGGAAATATGAAACTGTCACCCCCTTCTTTAAAAAAAGGCAGAAAGAGCTCAGCAGAAAACTTGAGATGCAACATTAAACAACCCATTTACTATATACATTTGGAGTCAACTTAAATCTAAACAACATACGAATTAAAAACAAAAAAACTGATCCCTTAATGAGAGATGAATGATAAAGATATAATGGCGAGTGTCAAGGCATAATTTAAAATTCAGCTGGAAAAGATCATTAGGGGCAAATGGAGGGGGAGACCTCTGACAAGCTGCCGGCTTCCTGTCCTCATTACCTGAGGGGCCACTAATATTTGTGGCCCTCAGGTAAATTCAGGTAAAGGTAAATAATTCTTTCATAGTTTAAAATTCAACTGGAAAAATCAAATGGAGGACCTTTGACAAGCTGCCAGCTTCCTGAGGGTGGAGGGGAAACCTTTGACAAGCTGCCGGCTTCCTGTCCTCATTACCTGAGGGCCACTAATACTAGTGGCCCTCAGGTAAATTCAGGTAAAGGTAAATAATTCGATCACAGTTTAAAATTCAGCTGGAAAAGATCAAATAGGGACCTTTGACAAGCCACCGGCGTCCTGTCCTCATCGAGGCCACTAATATTAATGGCCCTCAGGTAAATTCAGGTAAAGGTAAATAATTCGATCACCCCCACCCCCCCCCCCCCACAGAGTACTGCATTGCGGACCCGGGTCAGCCCTGACTCACCTCCCCGGTGACTAATGTGCCGACACACGAACTTCACCTCCTTTTTCTTGTGTAATAACATCGGGAACTTGAAGAGTATGAACGACGACACGACGTAGCAGCCCACAATGGCTGCAAATATCATCTCTATAATCATCGGAGCGAGGAAGTGTGTGTTTTGGGGGGGAGGAGGTGGTGTTGGTGCTGCTTTGTTTACACCCTCACCGCCGCCCCGACCCGCACCAGCTGACCCACTTCACCCACCCTCATATACCGCCCAAGACCTCAATCGATATCCTCCATAGCGTCACCGAGGCGATTACCGCCATGCACGGAACCCGCGGACAGTCTCACTGACTCGTAATTTGCAGCGGGGTTGAAGGTGTGGGCTAAATAAGGGTATCGTCTGCTAGCTCCGGTGCGCATTTCGGGAGTCTTGTGTGACGTCAGAGGTGCTGGGCCGCAGATTGGCTTAGAGGGAACGGGCATCCTGTGTGACGTCACACGGGGTCATCGCTGATTGGTGGAGAGGAATTGGGACCCACATTTAAGGCCAGTTGAAAACATTCGGGACAGAAAAGGTTAGTTTTTCTCATATATTAAGTGCTTTTATTACACTCTTTGCAGTAAAGGTTAATGGAAGATGACCCTTAAAGGTTGAAACGATAGATAAGGTTAACAATATACTCCTGTGTGTAAGATTAGCTGACGAACAAGCACATACTCGTATGTACCTTGCCAGTCTGCTTGAGCATATCAGTGTGCTCTACCTTATTTCCACCTATTTGAGCTGTCTGCAAGCATTTGATATACTTAATATAATTAAGATGGTGTACGTTACAAGTTGATAAACTGACTAGCTGTTAGTATAGACGGTATATAAACTGGAAGCTCGTAATAGAGCATTAAGACTCGTGACGGCTGGACTCTAGTCCACTGAAAACCAGTTGGTCCTATACAAAGTTTTCTCTACAGCCTACTAAAGCTGCTGCTAAACCTACTATGTGCATTGAATTTTTATAACTATCTCATCAAGATTGTAACTTAGCTAAATGAATTGTGGGGTTCAGTACCTGAGCCCATTATGTGCCTCTAATCCTTTCCACTATCGCCCACAAGATAGGTATGGGGTGCATAATAAATGAAAACTTAAAAACTACTGAAACATTTACCAAATACAAAATACATAGTGTATGAAACTATAAGTTACAGACTATTAGGGTTAAAAAAAAGTGTATACAGTTTGATTTATGTAACGTTATATCCAAGACAGTTCGCTAATAAATTTAAAAAACCCTCCCTAATCCAATTTAACCAAACCCAGCCTAACCTAATGTGCTTTTACAAGATGCCTGTGTACACAAGGCCAAAATACCATAAATACAGTATTCTAAGTTAAAAATAAGTTAAAATACTACAAGGCCAACTATGTATTTTTCCTAGGGTGCAACCCACAACTTTTCTAGGCATTTTCAAACCCTGATTGATAATGGTAAATACGATTTACATATATTAAAAAAAAGCGTGTGTACCAAACATTTTTGTACAATATGATAGCCAGGAAGATATCCTCAAACTTCTCCATTCCGTAAGTGCCATTCAGATATCCTTGGTTGTGTTCTGTAAAAAATTCAAAACGGCAAATTTTTGCACAGTTTTCGCTCAACCACACCCTAACACTTCGGCTGGTCAGTACAGGGACGGCCTTGCTTCTTGCAGGTCTGCTTTTTATTCACGATGGTCCAAATGATTGGACCTGTCTTCTGTACATCTATTCTATTCCAGTGCCTTTTCCTTATAACTCTCCCATGTGCTATAAGTGGCTTAGTACTTTCTCCTGATAATTACCTCACCTTCAAACCTATCCCTTGTATATCATGGATTAAGTTAACACTGAAAACTTCTTTGCTATCAGAAGTGACCTAAATCTAATAAAATACTAATATCTTATTCACTCAATTGTACCTATTTTGAGAAGTAAGGTTTTAAAACATTGCAAGTACATTTTTTTGGCCTTAATGATATATATACAGTAATTCACAAGATGCAATATGGAGAATACTGTAATCACAAGGAATTGTAAGGTTTCTTTTGAGAAAGGTTTTTACCCCAAACAGACTTGTCCTGCTGCAACATTCAAATTATGACTAGTTTTGCTCTTGTAATAACTACCACCTTAGCCTATGGCAAAAATAAGATTTATTTTAAGTTTTTAGTTTTTATGGTACATTATTAATAAAGATGATTACTATGTTAAATACTGTATTTGAAACGCAAACGAAGATACAGTGCACGTATTTGTATAATCGCCGAGCCCTGACCCTCCACAGATTGATCGACGGAGCAACTCTCTCTTCCCCCCCCCCCCATACTCAGCCACAAAACTCGCAGTTTTCCTTTCCATTCTTAATATTTTTTACTTTATCATATAATTCTTCATTAATATTTTCATTTAACTATTAAAATGCTTTTGCAGGCTGTAACAAATAATCAAGATCGAGGATCCAAATTGACTGGCGATTTAGAAGGTTGTTTTTAGTATAGTGGGGTCAAGACCACATTGTGCTCATAATGCCTCAGCAAGCCTGCCCCTACGCTGTCCTGGAGGGGCAGTATGAACTTCACGAAACCATTGGATCAGGCGGATTTGCAAAAGTTAAACTAGGAACACATTTGTTAACGGGAGAGAAAGTGGCGCTCAAGATAATGGATAAAAGACAACTTGGGGTGTGTATGTGTGCATTAAGTAGCTATTCTAAAGCAGATGATACCAGAGATGAATATTTAAAACTGAATTACTGTATTTCTATAATTTATTTACTCGTTTTCTCTTGACTGATGCATGTCTACTCAATTTAGTGAGAAACATGGTAATATCTGTATTATCTATCATTTAAAAACTATGAATGTAAATGCTGTTTTTCACAGGAGGATTTGCCACGGATATATTTGGAAATAGAGGCAATGAAGCAGCTGGCTCATCAGCACGTGTGTAAGCTCTACCAGGTGCTTGAGACAGACACAAAAATTATTATGGTTCTTGAGTATTGTCCTGGAGGGGAGCTATTTGATTATATAGGTAAATGCTAACTTTCATATGTAGGAGTTAATGAAATAGATTTTGCTTGTGCAATATGAATTAAATGCTGTAATGTGACTATATTCTTTTTTATTTACTAACTTAATTATTTTTTTAATATACTGTACAGTTGAAAAAGATAGGCTAGAAGAAGACGAGGCAAGATTATTTTTCCGACAAATCTCATCTGCTGTAGCCTACGTTCACAATATGGGATATGCCCATAGAGATCTTAAACCAGTGAGTTGCCTGTATGTCTTTTGTCACTTTTAGGTTATTAATCTGGTATTGTTATTGATATTTTCTCTAACCTAGTTCATTCATTTTGTACCTTGCCTATTTTACAGGTGCACGGCATATAGTACTTCACTGTGCTGTGTTTATGCGAATGTCTTTATCACTTTCACAAAATATGGGGCTTTATTAATTTTGTTCTTGTAGTGTAGGTCATAATTATCTGTACCTTTAGTATTAAATTCCGACATGAATTCTTACCAATAAATAAGAATTTTATTTTGTTGCTGTTGCCCCAGACTGGGCTTGGGGAGTAGAAGAACTCCCAGAACCTGATTCAGGTACAGTATTAGTAATGTAGTGGTAGTCAGCTGGAGTAAGAAATTTGAATAAATCAATGTAAATATTGCATAATAAAAACAGAGATAGATAGATGTACTGTATATTTATATATATATTTTTTTGTTTGCTGTGATGTACTCCTAAGGTTAAGTGCTCTATTGTTAAAGTTATGACTTAATAGAGATTAATAGAGAAGTACTTTGGAGAGATGAGCATGCAGTGGTGTTGGTTGAGATCTGGTAAATGCTCAGTTTTGATGTGTTGTATGAATGAGTTAATGGTGTTGTGAGTTGCTGGTTTGGTGTTAATGTACTAGCAATTGTAAGCCAGGGGTTGTTTGATTCCCCTTTGCATATTCAAAACAAATAAGGTACATTGCAGTCAAATCGCAAGCAAACATCTTTACAAAGTTCGTTTTCTAGTTGTAAAAACAACTAGAAGGTTTTCTAGTTGTGTATTTTGTTGGTAGGCGAGGAGACAGTGTGTCAGTATAAACTAGGTGCAGCATAGGAAATAGGTCTCAGTTATAAGAAGAAAAAAAAAAGTGGAGAAAATATAGAGCACTAAATGATGCTGCTTTGTGAAAGTTGTGATATTAAAGACCCAGGGGAGGGCAAAAACCTTTTTTGTGCCTCATTGGTAATGCACATTTATTCCAGTACAGTGAATTAATGTTTCAAATATTTCTTGCAGGAGAATTTGCTATTGGATGATGATCAACAACTAAAGTTGATTGATTTTGGACTTTGTGCCAACCCAGCTGGTGGTATGGACCAGCGCCTAGCAACTTGTTGTGGCTCGCCTGCCTATGCCGCACCAGAACTAGTTTCTGGAAGATGCTACTTAGGTAAGTTAAATAAATCATTGCCAGTTATTCCCAATGCTGATATTAATAAAGATTTTGATTGGGCAGCAAAAAATAACATGATTAACAGTGATAAATTCCAGGGGTCAGATTCATGAAGCAGTTATGCAAGTACTTACGGACGTGTATATCTTTCCTCAATCTTTGATGGGTTTGGTTACATTTATTAAACAGTTTACAAGCATGAAATTTCCCAATCAACTGTTGTTATTGTTATAAACAGCTTCCTGGTGCTTCCGAGCAATTTAACTGTTTAATAATTGTAAAGAAAGCCGCCAAAGATTGAGAAAAGATGAACTGGTTCGTAAGTGCTTGCGTAACTGCTTTGTGAATCTGACCCCAAGTACTTTTAGGTATGGTAAAAATGAAGACCTTAAACAAAATACAGGGTACAAGACATGATCAAATCTGCCCATAGTAGGAAAGCAGCATGTAAAGGATCTGGGAATGATGCTGTCTGATGGTGTTACGGCCCTCTCGGGACGCAACGGGGTTCTTACTCTGATGTTGTTAGAGGAAGATATATATCCGTTCCCAAGCCAGTAGTGGCTATCCAGGGATGTGATCCGTGACACAAGTAACTTAAAGGGTGAAGGGAAAGAAAGTTAAGAACTTAAGACTATAATTACCATCACCAAATAAATATATAAAAAGAGTGCACAGGGGGGAGGGGTATTAACACTATACAAGGGGATTATTCACACAATAGTCTTCTGCTGAAGACTCTGGATCCAGAAGTTAGGTGCCGAGTCCTCGGTGCTTTCTCCGTGGCCACACAATGAAATCTCTGCGAAGTTGAGCCTACCCTGGCCACAGGTCAGCCAAAACACAGGTCCACTGGGGGCACCGCCGTGGAGGCCGTCAACCACACGTCCAGCTGGTCTGCTGGCAGGTTCCGGAACAGCAAGGCTGGTCAGGCCACTCCACGGACGATATAAGGGGAACGCCCTGGACAGGAGCCTCGTGTGACACCGCAAGTCACTCTCCCGTCCTCAATACCCCAGTGGACGATCGTCTCCAACAGTCGGTCCCGGGTAAACCTTTTACTGCCACTCCACTGGCAGGCTAACACACCACAGTGTTCTTCCGGGGGGACGACGTCGCAACTGCTGCAGCAAAGCTCAAGGTTTGGAGACGGCTGCCTCGGGTAGACTGACTCAACTTCCATCACAGCAGTCCCAGGTCGACTCTGTAAGCAGACACGTCATCAATAACTGGGACACACTAAGGCACCTCACTTACAGGCTCAGACACAAACGCCTACCTATCCACTCCATAGATGGCGCTGGTGTCTGAGCACCACCTCACCAGAGGTCAGCAGCGGCTGTGTGGAGCGCTGAACAGGACCGGAAACTGGCCCTTGTGGCCGGTATTCGCTGTCCTCACCAGGTGTCGTCGTCCGTTAGGCGGGGGTTTCGGGAGCTGACCCACAGATGGCGCGGTCGTTACTGCTCCGTGCTCGGACGCTGGATCCGGGTTCGTAACAGATGGCCTAATGTTTAGGAAGAAGAACCACGCAAATACAGTATAGCGTCGGCTAAGAAAAACGATAGGATGGATTATGAGAACCTTCAACTCCAGGGATCCCATCATAATGCTCATACTATTCAAACCACTTGTGCTGTTCTGCCATTAGTACTAATGCAGCCATTAGTATTGCTTGATACTCACTTTCCCTTTCAGAGCAGGAGAAATTGCTAAATATGATAAATAAATATGCACGATAAAGCACCTAAATTATTGGGATCATCTCAAAGCTTGCAAAATGCACTCTCTAGAAAGGAGACTAGGGAGGTATCAAATAATATACTGTAAAGGGAAGGTACTGGAGGGCTAAATCCCAAATTTTCACTGTAAAATAACAACGTTCTGTAGTGAACGATATAAAAGGAAATGTAGAATAGAATCAATGAAGAGTAGAAGTGCTATAGACATAATTAGAGAACACTTCTGTAATTCTCCCCAAGCCTGGCCCCGGGCTGTGCTTGGAGAGCAGAACTCCCAGAATCTCATCCAAGTACAATCCAGGTGACGGTAACGCGTTGGTGTTCGGCTGTTTAAGGCTAGGGGTATGGCCTCGTCACATAGTTATAAAAAAAAATAGAAAAACTGGAACTTCGTCTGTGGTAAGGTAAGAAGACACACAAAACACAAGTAAACTTTAACAATGAAATTTTAATTACGTAAAATAAATCAAAACATCAAAAAATGGACAAACAAATTCTTATAATAAAATCAATCAATCAAAATAGTAAGAATAATTAAATGACACAATGAAAAGTTACGTTAAGACAAAATAACAAGAAGTGCAATACAAAAATAAATGTGAGGTGCTGGAATATTGGCTTTAAGCTACCACCTCTCTCAGTACACGCTAACGTCTAGCCGGGAGAAGTGTTAACCGTGGAAGCACTGAATATTCTGAGGTCTGAGGTCGTGGCGACCCCAGACATCAAGTAGTATGGGGGGGGCGAGTGCAGTTGCAGCCAGACCGGCGACCAATCAGCGAGGAGCCGGCAGCGATCAACAGGTAGTTTGGCGGTTTGAGTCTGAACAGGTGTCCCTGGCTGCATACGTTTTGCGCTCTGGCAAACCTTGGAGATGTTGTTGTCGTTGTTGGACATTTCTTCCCTAGTAGTTTTATATAATTTTAACGACGTAATTGTGGAGGGAAGAGCAGGCTCAATCTCTTGAAGGAGATTATCGTCACAGTATGAATATCAGAGGTCAATGGTCATTCAACATCCATCCAGCAAGTATAAAAAATATTACTGGAACAAAAGTGGGAATTCTTTAAGAAAACACTTGACAGTTTTTTGCAAGAATTACCTGACGAACTGGGTTGTAGTGGATATGTAGGCCTACGGGCTGCTCCAAGCAACAGCCTGTTGGACCAAGCACACTCGAGTCAAGCCTGGCCCTAGGCTGGGGTTTGGAGAGAAGAAAAACTCCCTGAACCCCATTCAGGCACAGTATAATGTTTTATAGAAATATAATTTCAGTGAATGCTGCCTAATTTTATAGTGCAATGTGTCATGCATAGGGTAGGTTGGCATGATAATTATATATATGGTATACTGTACTAAAATTACAATATTACTGCAAAAATGTGAACTAGAAAATGGTAATGTTTATTTAGGGAAAAGTACATACATTCAAAATGAGTTACAAGGAGAATGTTAGATTTTTAGGCCGAGCAAATACAGGTATATACTATTCCTAAAGCCACCAATAGGCACAGTGTATCGGGCAAGATGTGGAAAAATAAACTTACAACTACATGAGAGAATTTTTGGAGTAGGGCGATGGCATTGAAGCTGCATCCTGGGTTGTCAGAATCACGCATTATCCTTTGGACCACGATGTGTGCTGAAAGTAACACAACTTTAAGTCCACCCGAACTTATACCGAGTTTGGAGACACCGAGCTAGTCCAATATTTTTGTTACTCATACACACTTGTGTAAGTAATGAAGTTCCCTCCAAACACAGTGTCAAATGCACAATGAAATCACTGTGGCTTGTGGCTAGGGAGCCGGTCGGCCGAGCGGACAGCACGCGGGACTTGTGATCCTGTGGTCCTGGGTTCGATCCCAGGCGCCGGCGAGAAACAATGCGCAGAGTTTCTTTTACCCTATGCCCCTGTTACCTAGCAGTAAAATAGGTACCTGGGTGTTAGTCAGCTGTCACGGGCTGCTTCCTGGGGGTGGAGGCCTGGTCGAGGACCGGGCCGCGGGGACACTAAAAGCCCCAAAATCACCTCAAGATAACCTCAAGATATATACGTGAATTTTTTTTCCGTAGGTATATCAAGCTGTTGGGATTTCATTGTGTAGACAACTTCATCTTATGAGTGACTGTTTTTAAACTGGTCTTGTACAACTCATTAGTTAAGGCTGATGCTCCCCACCACAATGAAAAGGAGTAATATTCATAATTTATGTTAAATTCATATACTGTACAGTGGAAACTCGGGTAGCAAACGTCCCACTCTGGGAATTTTTTCAGGTTACGAACTCAATTTCCCTGGAAAATTTGAATCTGGTTACGACCTTTGCCACGCCTTGCAACTTTGTTGATACACGTATGGGTCGACTAAGTACATAGTTCCTGGTGGCATGGGCGACTGCAGTTCAGTTTACCAGTGCCTCCCGCCTAGTGATGATCGCGCTTGAATTCTTTGTAAAGAATTTAATTTTTTTCAGCTTTTTTTTGTAGTTTCTAAACATAAAGGTAATTATCATATACCATGCCATGGGTTCCAAGAAAGTCAGTGGTAAGGTGATAATTAAAAAGTGGTGTGCAGTATGGGAAGAAATACAAAGTTTTGTTGAAACGACTCGCCCAAATCAAGCTGTAGTAGGCCGTTGCCTTAACCTTTTCAATGACGGCAGATGCCTCGCTACAGACATGTTAAAACATAGGGAGAGCAAGTTATGGAAAGGTTCTTAATGAGAAAAACAAGCATTGAGCAGTTCCTTGTGGTATGCAGGCAAAACTTAGGAGAGAGTGTACCTGAGTGAAGGCATCACTGCCTGATGTTATAATGGAATGGGACTCTCCTTCCAAACACTAACAACTCTCCTCCTGCCCCCCTCCTCACCGTCTTCCATACGCCAATAAGATTCAGCAATAAATGTAAGCTATAACTTGTACATACTACAGTACAAAATATTTGTGTGTATTATGTATGAAATGTATTTTGAAGTTAATATTTTTGGGAGTGTGGAACTGATTAATTCAATTTATATTATTTCTTATGGAAAAATTAGTTTCGGGTTGTGAATTTTCGGTGTCTCTAGGAACGGATTAAATTAAAAAACCATGGTATCACTGTACATTAGGGAGTTTGCATAAATTTATATTCTGTAATCAGCTGCCTGCATGGTGTATATTTGATTTGACCTTAGACAATGTTATCTTAAGTATCCTGTAATCTTGCATTAATTGCAATGTAAGATTACAGATTGTAAGTTGGATATTTTTTTTTAGGTTCTGAAGCAGACATATGGAGTATGGGAGTACTATTATATGCACTGCTGTGTGGGTTTCTTCCATTCGATGATGAAAATTTGGGAGTACTCTACAGAAAAATTCAGGTTTGTCCACGAGTGTTGTAAATTTTGAAGCTCAGTGTCCTTTGTTCAAGTATCCACATTTCCATTTTTCTTGTTTTTTTACAAAAATATTTAATGAATATGAAAACTGGATATGAATCTTACCTTTGATAACAGGCAGGTGTTTACGAAAATCCTGAGTGGTTAAGTGCTGGAAGCTGCAACCTCCTGTCGGCAATGTTGCAAGTGGACCCTAAGAGGAGAATTACTGTGATGCAACTCTTAACACATCCTTGGCTTGCAATCGGTCAGCCACATCCTCTAGATGCAACTTCTAAGTACAAGGTACATATAGTATTACTATCTTTTTATTGGTCACTCTTAAAATATTAAGATGTATAGATTTGCTTTTTGTTTTTTCCAGATAATTGGTTCAACAAACTAATATGAAACTGGCAATTATAATCTTACATTTCTACTTTTTTTCTATGTACTGTATTCATAACATTCTTCTTTCAAAATAAGTTCCTTGTGGCTATTCAAATGTTTTTATTAACCCTTAAACTGCTAAGGTATTAAAAGTCCTACATCTTTATCTAGTTGCACATGGAAAGAAAGCATTTAAAACGCATAACTATCAAGCCGGTCGGCCGAGCGGACAGCACACTGGATTTGTGATCCTGTGGTCCTGGGTTCGATCCCAGGCGCCGGCGAGAAACTATGGGCAGAGTTTCTTTCACCCTATGCCCCTGTTACCTAGCAGTAAAATAGGTACCTGGGTGTTAGTCAGCTGTCACGGGCTGCTTCCTGGGGGTGGAGGCCTGGTCGAGGACCGGGCCGCAGGGACACTAAAGCCCCGAAATCATCTCAAGATAATCTCAAGATAGATCAATCGCATATGGCAATTTATGCCTGGTAGAAATCATGGGTAGCATTTGTGGCAGTGTGGAGTAGGAGGCAGTAGCCATGATGATGCTTTAAATTATTAATGAAGAATTTATTCATATTAGGTAAATGATAGAATATAGAGTATCTATAAGATTTTAAAATTCATGAAGGTTTAATATTGAGATCAAACACTTGTTTACATATGTTTAAATAATCTGCAATTTGCAATGCCATTAGTGTAATATTTGAGTCTTTTAATATTAAAATTTTAATGTCAATTAAGTTTTGGATTATTCTAATTATTGGCTTTATTCACTGAGAAGCTATTTCTCTGGTGTGTGAAAAATGTGTTGATTATGTATGCACTATAATGTTGAAGTATTTTATTACCCTTGGATATAAAATGACTAATGTCCCGTATTCCTCCCCCAATGATCACCTTCGTCAGGATCCAGAGGTGAGAAGTATGGCCAAGTTTTTCCATTATCCCCAGTAGTTATTTTCCCAGCTTTATTTTCCCATTTCTGGTTGCTGCTGAAATGGTTTAATTAAATTAAAGCAATTAAATAGTTAAATCCTCTGCATATGATGCAGTGTCGCCTTTCTGTTGAGCAGCTGTCTTTACAATGATGAAGATGGGCAATCTGGTGCTGTAGGTCCAAATTTCTGCATGAATGTAGTTACTTCTAGTGCGTGTCTTTATAGAACACCTTTAAATGCTTGAATCTGATCCCGTTGTTGAACTAGTCAGTACTATATACTTATTATTTCTATTGCCTTCCTCTTTTTCTCAAAGGAATGTTTTGTGTACAGACGTGGTGACCCTACCATGCACTGTGTGATGCAATTCGCCCTGTAATGAAAGGGTGGAGGATTTTCGTAGTTCTTTACATGCTTGGGATAAAGTTGCTATCTCCAGACACTTTAGAAGTTTTTGATATTCTCGGTCGATTCAAAAATATTAAATTGAAGGTTATTGCAAAACCTAGGTATTGAAAGGGGGGACATTTTTTAGAAAATGACATTGGAGGAGACATAATACATGCAATACCAGGAAAGTTGTTTGTTGTTGTTATTAAAGATTCGCTACCTGAAACAAAGTTCCAAGTAGCACGGGCTATGGTGAGCCCGTAGACCAGGAAAGATTATTAACCGATTGGTGGGGGTGTGTTCTAAAAAAAAACTAGTAAGGTTTGGCTTAACATGTGCTATGGGAAGAGAAAGCTCTAAGCATGCCAACCAGAGTCAGATTTCCTCTAATCCTGTACCAACCCGTGTGTGTGTGTAGGGAAAAAAAAGTTGCATCTGGTGCAAGACATAGACATTTGTAGGTAAATTTTGACCAGTATAACCATGTATACTATGGTCTGTATTATAACTGCTGTTGCTCCCATTCTATTAGGCAACACACCCTAAATAACGGACCTGGTTCCTGCATGTTTGACTTCGTGGGTGTCTGGAGACTAATACAGTACATTGAATATCTCTGCAACATACTTTGCAGGCTGAATTTACTTACTTGCTTCCACTGAACAAATATTTGCCAAAGTGAGTAATGTGCGGATTTACTGACGTTACAGGGCCAGCATTTACTGATCGATGGAAAAGTCAATGGGTCAGTGGCATTTATACCATTTTGGTGTAATTTGAATTTGATCTGAGAAATATTGGCAGTGAGGGTTAAATCTTTCTACAATCACTTTTCCTGATAGTTGTCCATCATGTGATAAGTTCAAATTCAAATTTGTCAGTGAATTTCACCCAGCAATCTGATATCAACATGGTTTTCCAATAGTAACGGAACACAATATGAGGGTCATTGGTGATAAATTTAAATTACTTTGGTAATGAAAAAACAAAAATGAGTTCCGGATACAAGACTCGGTCAGATCTTCTCGTAGAAAGGAGGAACCATGCAAAAGATCCTGAAATAAGTATGTTATAAAAATTAGCATTTAGCGCACAACAAAGCATACAGAATTAGAGCCAGGAAATATAGGTGGATATAATATTCAAAACAAGGTACAGTATATCACACCAAGTATGGTACTATATTAAATAGAAAAATAGAATATTACTTAGTCCTTGGTCATTTGAAGGCCAGTGAACTAGAAAATATACAGTAATCCTTAACTGCCTGCTCACATGTAAAATAGTGACACACTGATATACTGGTACCAACTGAAAGCACTCAAATTGGATGCCTTGGAATAGAGATGAGACATATCATGCAATACTGTATATGTATGGAAAATATTAGGTCAGATACCGAATTTCCTCATTCAGATTATAACATAATGGAGTGAGAGATATAATAGGAAGTGCAAAATATATCCAACAAAATTATTAAAAAACACACTATAGATCAAAGGTCCACAACTCTCTAACCTCCTTCCAAAAAAATGAGAAATATTGTTGAAATAATAGTAGCAGCTTTCAAGAGAAGACTTAACAAGTTCCTTTTGGAATTTCTGGATCAGCCTGGCTGTGTGGGCAACGAAGACAAACATCATAGATTGGGTAATGTTGTGATAGATGAACTATCAAAATTGTCCGTGGATTCAACTGTAGTACCTTGCATATGTGATTGAGAACAAAATTTAGATTCTATAAGATCCTGCCTCTGTTATGTTCCTGGTGTTTCTGTGCTTACCGACATTTTAATGATCTCTCATACTTTCTCTCCAAGTTATGAATAGAGTAGCTTTGACATGCATGTTCGTTAAATTTACCACTTGCACCGAGTTGCTTCATTTTCTGTGAACCTTGTAGTTGTTGGCATTGCTTCACTTGATTTCTGGATATTTTCTTGAGGGCAACTGTAACAATCTCCTGCTCTCTCTTGGCTCTAAGGAGGGCCATGTTTTGGTATGTCCTATAGGGATAATGTAATTTTCTTATCCCTATAGGACATACAGGACTCCTGCCAGTGAGGTAACTCGGTAAGGGAAGCCATCTCAGTGAGATAGCTTCAGGGAGGAACCAAGAGGTTCTGCAGAAAAGTAGGGTTTGGATTTAACAAATACAGTAATAGAGTATTCAGTATTTATGCATTTAAAATCATTTTTAATAAAGGTGGAAAGAACATTATATCTTGTGCAGAACTGTATATCAGCTGTTTGTACAGCTAATTAAATTATATTTCAAAAGGCTCAGCATTTTCTTGATGTACAATATAAAAGTAATTTAAGATGAAATTTAAGATTTATTTTTCTGGTTGAGTTTGGAATAATTTTGTACACAATTTTGGTTAATAATGAAGTGTTTATCTGGGAATTAAAATGGAGAAAGGAAATATGTACTCTATATTTTTAATATAATTTTCCTCGTTCAGGTATGTGGTGTTGATGAAGATGTGATCACAGAAATTGCAGTGCATCAAGGCAAGTCCAGAGTTGCCGTGCGGCAGGCAGTTTGCCGTTGGTCGTACGATTACCTCACAGCTACCTATTTCCTGCTGCTTGCACAGAAGATGAAGGGAAAACCTCTGAGACTCCTTCCAAAAGTAACTGCTCTTGGTGAGATAAAAGTATGTACAGCTGAGAATATTCATTATCAGTTTATATTACTTAGTCCTAGTAATAAATACAGTACATCTAGTGTGGATTATTTATGAAGTAGCTTTGTTGCTTAATTTATTTGTCTATACTTTTGCATGAAGTTCAGTACAATACTGGTTGCTTTTGAGTAAGGAAGGTGGTAGGCCAAGACCCTAGACACCCCTGGAGTGTCATCAATGGTTGCTGTTAAGGTAGGTCTAGAGCTGTTCATTGACTGCAAACTATTGTTTTTTTTTGGGTGGAGCCCCTTGTGGCTCCCTGAAGCTCTTATATGCTGAGATGGTGCCATCTACGAAGTTGCATCAACTGTGGAGTTTTATAGCCCTACCTGGTAACAGTGCTTGAACCTGGCCCATAATAATCTGACAATAAATAGAAATTTTACAAATATTTTAATTGTGTTCGGAGTTAACATCCTCTGCCGAACTCTGTGTGTTGATTTAAGAACTGCTATAATGTTATCGCGAAACCAAAGTGTTAGTGCTGGTGTTCCTTTTCTCCCACTGGTTCACAATTGCCCCTTCAAACCTGGATACTTTTTTCAAGGCTCTGTTTTTGTTGATGCTCTCCTTTAGTTGTGAGGCTGGGTTCTGTTCTTTTGGCTCTGGTTGGCAATTTCTTTGTTTGCAGCTTTCTTCTTTTCTGATGAAGAATGAAATGGATGACTTTTGGAGTGGGCCTTTAGTGGTTGACGCTTGGTTTGTCTGGCTGGGAATGCATCATTTGTTGGTTGCACCATTGTGTCTGGTTGCAACAATTCATGACTACCTGCGGCCACCTGCTCTGCTTCGATGGATGATGTTGATCTGGTTCCTCGGTTCAGTTCCCTGTTCCAAGATGCATTTGTCTCTCACTGTCTGCAGTGTCCTTAAATCTAACAAGCCTGCAGTCTATCTCTTTGGCCCATGATGTTCGTAAGGTTGTGGCTTTGGCCCCTGTGTTTACTAACATGTCATAGGCTGGTATTTATGCTCATGGTTTTGGTGGTTTAACAGTGTCCTGGACCTGTTATCTGGTCAGTGTTCCTGTTCCTTATCGGGCTTGTGTTTCCCTGGGTTGCGTTTCCCATCCCAGCATCTCAACTTCGTATCATTGCTACTTTTTTCCTTCCTGGCGAGTCATGTTTTTCTTCTTCTGTTAGAACGCTTCAGGGAGCTACTATGAGGCTCCTCCAGAAAACTGGCAATGGGCATAATGAAACACCTCTTTCTGGTAGGGATATTGGAGGCTCCCTTATCAACTCAGAACTGAGGTAAAGATTGCATTGAAGCCTGGGGCTCCCATAGTACTTTCTGGATGTTTTCTTGGTGAGGGTGATCGTAACAATCCCTGGCTCCCCTGTTCCCTGTGAAAGGAGGGTCAGGTTCTGGCTCTGGTCCCCGGTGGGCCATAATACTGTATAGGATTTCTATGGCTGATATGACTTGGTAAGGGATGTCATCTCAACAAAATTACTTTAGGGAGTCACTGAGGTCCTACCTGAAAGAGGCATTTCATTTAAATTCAATGCTTTTTTGTTTGTGTATCACCTGCCATGTTTGATTGGAAGATTATCTTTGTTTATAGACACTTGCTTATTCAACATTTGTGTGTGTTATTATAGTGAATTCAATATATATTCTAAAATCCAATATGTCTGAAAGGAGTAGACATCTAATTATTTTAGACTCTTGCACTTGATGTGTTATAATTGAGTAATTAGAGGTATTTTAAATTTAAAAAGCAAGCCCTTGTTAAACACATGTTGTTTTTACAGTCACAGAGGGCACCAGCTCGATGCCTCCTGGAACAATTGAACCACGACAAACTTGACTCTTCAAGTCACAAAGACCCGGTATCCAACAGCTTGGCCAACTCTCCTCGTGGGATGCATACATCACTTGAAGGGGGACTGAATGATGTTGATCTTCTCTCCATATGTAAACCTATTGACCCATTAAGTGATAAAGTGGATGGTAGGTTTTGTTTGTAATTTGTGTTTTGGAGTTATCCTTTCATGGGTTGTACCTTAAATTAATTGAAAATAGTGCTATAAGAATTCTATTATATTACAGTACTGTACTGTGAAACCCGTATTTACTGGGTTAATACAAAATAAATAAATAAATGTGTTTCACGGATTTTGCCAGCTTTGTAAATGCTAGCCAATTAACCAGATTATCTCGGAAGCAGTGGGCATTCATTTGAAAAGTATAACTAGTCTAACCATATACGCTAATGCAAGTTATCTCAATGTAGATAAAGTGAGATAGTTTTTTTTATATAATTATAATGCAGCAGCAGACGACTTGTTCTCTCCACAGAGGACATGAGGGCTGAAATAATTTTTCATTAAATGGTCACTGTCTCTAGATGAGGCCTCCAGTAGTCCGAAGCTTGACCTTACTCAAGGGATATTATTATGTACACAGTGTGGACTTGGAATGAATCATCCAGGGATGATATTCTGCCGCAGAACAGTCAAGTTATTCTTTCGTAAATACGGTACTTTAAAAATATGGTATAAATTTAATGATCAGCTAAGAAAATTTACAAAAAGTTGAGAACAATTATATGTATTTATATAGTATACAGTATATCTTTCAATCCCTAATAACTTTACTTAGCCCAAGCTTCAAGTAACCAGATTTTATCTTTGCTAAATGCCTGCAGGTATCAATTGATTCAGTAATGGGGTTGCATTGTACTTTACATATAGCAAAGCTGATTTTTGTTTTCCTTTATGTACAGGTAAACTTTCCCCACGCAAGGAAACCAGCACAGAACTAGAACTCACACCGTTAACTTCGCCAAAGAAGCGTCGTACTCCTTCAGTTAGTGATGAGGAAAAGGAAAACTTTGCTCAACCACGTTTACCAACACCAGGGCACAAATCTCGCAAGAAACCAACTCCGTCTACACCATGTAAGAATTGATTTCTGATTTGGCTTTTTGCTTTTCTGTATAAAGGATAACAAATGAATTGTCATCTGCCACCAATAGAAAGGATTTATATACATACATGTAGTGCATACATACATGTTTCCTGATTGATCAAACAGTCAACTGGGAAACCTGTTAACAAGAATAGAACAACTATTAAAACCAGCCACAGGTATAACACTTGTGCTCACAGTCAGTCCAAGACTAAGAGAGTTAGGTCTACCTATTTATGACGTTCCTCTTAGCTTTTTGTAACTGGTGCATTTTTTATCTGCCACTGTTCAGTATGCTGTTGTTACTTGCTCATGGAGCTGTTAATTAATTCCATTTGCTTGCCACTCTCATTGCATGATATACTCTTGCTTATCTGTGTTTTTCTTGGCTTGGTGCCTTCTTTTAATAATTACTTGTGTTTCAACTGCTTCATAGCCTTCCTTTGATAATTACTTATTTAATGTGTGTCAACCTTACACCTGTATCCATTCTTTCTGCTCTTACTAGCCTGAAAAAGACTCTATTCACATTGTTTGTTCCCCTCAACATTGTGATCAAATTGCCGCTGGCCTTTCTCTATCTGGACATTCTGAAGAAATGGTTTAAAATCTGCACACAGAAATTACACCACATGAGACCAGAAGGCATGGCAAGTTGTGCAGAATACCCCCGTTGAAAAGTAGAGGTGTAATAAGCATGCTGAAAGAAAATGATGTTAACATCAAACGCCCAAGACTTTTCAACACTCCCTCTACACAACACTAGGCATAACTGTCTGACCCCTCACAGTGCACAGTGTTCAAAATAGAACTTGATAAACACCTTCAAAGAATAACTGATCAACCTGGGTGTGATTCATATGTCAGGGTGTGAGCAGCTGCATCAAACAACTTGATTGACCAGACCACCAACCAGAAGACCTGGTTAAACCATCCACAACTTGCCACAAATGTTTCATCAATGAACGTTCTCCGTAATTTCTTCTTTAAATCACCAAAAAGACTTCTTGCTTTCTCTTTATGAGCATAAGGCTGATTGGATTTTTATGATGATCCTGGTCTGCAATCCACAGTATTAACATCTATTCCATGTTGCAATTTAAATGTGATATTTTCCTTATTGTCATTGATTTCAGTGGTAGGTATGTACCATTGAAGTAGGACTCGAGAGATGAATCTCTCTCTAGACACAACACGGTAAGCAATCTGGTGTGGCAATGGGAGGTAGAAATGAAATATTTAATAGTTTTTAAAATAATGTACTGAACTAAACCCCTACTCTTCTCCATTATTTATACACATTACCAGAGGATATATGAATGACTTAGCAGATCAGCATTATCGTATGAAGTTCTGGGAGATTTTTTATACTTGTCATATCCAACTTGGTGCACTCCTTTTTAATTGTATTTACAGATCACTACTATTGCTTTAGTTGCTCACAATATATATTTGCTACGTGCCATTGCAAAGTCTCCCAGAAGTGGCTCACAAGCTGAAGGCACTACTATTTTTTATTTATTTTTTTTGCCTTCGGATCTACATGATGTTTTGTACACTTAATTTTAATACCTTTAGGACAAATTAAAGATGAAATGACATGAATTTTGGGGGAAATAATGATTGTTGAAATATTTACATTTTAAACTTGTTTGGAGAATATAGAAGTTTTAATTATTTGTTGAATATTTAATGCCCCATTATTTTACTTTACAATGTGAATGGGTACATCGGTACAGAACAAAAAATTACATGTACTTCATTGTTGATGCACAAGTATACTGTAATTATTTTATGTATAAGAACTAATGTAGGCTATAGTTCTTGCACATTATTAATGCTAGAGACTTACAGGTCAATTTTGTCCTCAGTACCAGGCAAGATGTCACCCTCGAGATCGGTGGACAGTGGCTTAAATGAATATTCATCGCCATCAAAATCTAGGTGAGATAAAAAATCATTTTATTGTTTTATCAGAATTTTGTAGATAAATATATTACTAAATTCGAAGAAAGGGTAATTACCTAAGATCATTAATAAAGTTTTCTTAAGTTTTCCCCCATGCATGCCAACAGGCAATATAGTTTGTAAGGTAAGTTACAACAAAAGTTACTTGTATTAATAGATGTATTATAAAATTATATTAAAAACTGCGTGTAGTGTATTATAAAATTTGATTAAAAAGCGGATGCAGTAATAGTGACTTGCATAAAGGAGGTTCTCCCTGCTTTCATTAACTGTTGACAACAAAATGTATATTGGGTACATGTATATGGATTTGCACAGGTTTCTCAAACCACCTTACACAAGCTAGGTTACTTGTATGACTGAATATTTCCAACAGTTTCCCTAAGTATAGGGGTCTTGCTTCATGTAGGTCGTCGGTTAATCCCCGATTGTCCAAGTGGTTGGGCACCATTCCTTTTCCATGTTCCATCCCAAATCCTTATCCTGACCCCTTCCTAGTTCTATATAGTCTTAATGGGTTGGCATTTTCCCCTGATAATTCCCTCCATCCCTCCCCTAATTCTATTGAACCATTTCTAACTGATATGTTATCTTTCTCGCAGATTCTTAACTGTTAACACGGATGAATGGGGATGGACACCAGAACGAACTCCTCGATCTTCAAGGAAAGTATTTGGCAGTATTGAAAAGCGATTAGATAAGATGAGAAATATGCTTACACCTCGCAGAAAGTTAAATGCTGATTCAGGTCCATGCATTGTAGAAAGCAAGGTAAGTAAAGGCTGGCACTTAATTAGTATCTGAGAATATGTTCTTCTTTAGTAAGTTCTATGCACTATCATTTCTGCATAAAATTATTCTGCATCATTTTCAGTTTTGTGCCCTTCCAATTTTTTCAAAGAGCATGAATTGACTTGATAAGTAGCATAAGGACTTTTAACAAATGAAAGCTCAGCCAGTAGCTAAAATTGGTTAAATCAGGTACAAGTATCAAAGTGAGTAAAAGTAAATCCTGGACCCAGCAGTAGTAGTGGAATGGGTAACATGATGATGAAGAATTGACGATCAATTTCAGAAACACTGCTTAACATTTTGGAAAGCTACATGCAGCACAGTCAGGCTCTAAAACTAACCAGGGTTGTCAATGTGCAACCGGTCCTCAGGGAGGAGATTCGCTCAAGGGAATGGATCGGGAATGACTACATAATTAGTGGTATTATTTACTTTATCCATGGTAAGGTTAGGTTTCATTACGTTTGGTTACATTAATCCACTGTATTATTTACAAACTGTGATGTGGAATTAAAAAACTATTTCAGTGTGTCAGAGAATTCCATTTACAGAACACCAATTTCTTCAAAGAAAATGTTTTCAACATACAATTTTTATATTTTAAACCAATGATTTAAAATACAATAACGTTATAATTTGAGAATATTCTCCGTTTATGACAAAGATTCATTTGCTAGTTTACATGTAGAATATTATTGAAACCATAATATGCTTTCAGACCATCACAGATATCTAGATTTTATCCAGGTTTATTATATCCAGGTGGTTTGAAAGGGGATGTGGTTTCCTCATGGTAATGGATTTATTGTGAGGACGGGTTCCATTGTAATACAACTAGCAGTGAAACAAGGGAAACAACCTCCTTGATGCACAAGTAAATTGGTAGGTTAACAATAACGACAGTTGGAAATGACAATTCATTTGGAACCATTAGATTCAAGGCAGAGAGCATAAGTGGCTGATGAACACCTAACCTCTTCTTAAATTAAGGAGGGAGGGCATAGGTAACCACAGGTAAAAATAAACAATGGAAAAATCACTAAAGGCCTCTCTCTCTCAAGCAAAAATCTGAAAGCATTTATCACCTCCCCCTCACCACCCCCATAGGGGTAACCCATCAGGAGTCATCTGAAGGAGAGAAACATGAAAACCTCACCGAAGATATCTTCTGTGGTCTTTGCCAAGAACTTCTAGGAAGTGATGTCTGACACTGCAGAGAGACTAGGGATGGATGAAAAACAGTAAATTTTATTTAACATTAAGAAAATAAAAATCCCTAACCTGAAGAAAGTGATGCTGTATACCACATCAACAATATTATTATAGGTAGATCAAATTATGAAAACAGTGGTCAGCAGCGACCAGAAGCTGGTAGAGAAACATATCAAGGAATAACATACAGCAAGTGTGGTTGGGGAGGGAGGTTGGTATTTATAGCAAGATGCATCAATACAAGAATATCATCTTCAGCTGTACCTAGCACTGGTGATGCCCTACTTAGACTACACAATGAAATGCTGGTTGCTGTACTGCAGAATGGTACATGGCTAGCAGGTGGGGTCATAATGAGCTGAATGTCACTTCACCCTTAGTCACTGATGGATAAACACCGCCTTATCCTTCACCACCACAATATTTGCATTGAGAGATACTCTGGCTCCAGGATATCTTGTTAACTCCTATGTAATTCAAACATATTTTGTTTACGTTGCATTAAAAACAATATTTGGGAAGTATCTGCAGCTATTCAGGCTAAACGTTCTGGTATAAACAACTGTTTACTTGTATTTATTGCATGATTATTATTTTTTTTATCAATGTTGTGTTGCAAAGAAAATTATTTCCATTTTGTTAGTTGTGTTAATATGATTGAGAAGCTGGGTATGTTTTGTTGCAGAATTTATACAATGTGAGTACGACAGGAAGCAGGAACCCTGACCAGGTACTTCATGATCTGCGACGAGCGCTACTTAATAAAGGCATCCTTTGTAATCAGAAGGGGTAAGTATCACTGAGCTATGTATTGTTTGTGTGAAGTGTTTTATGATCAATGTAAAGCAATGGTGTGTTTTGGCAGCGGAGGAGATCAAGTAGTAATTTGTGTGTGTTCACGTGTGTGTGATGTGTGTGTGTACTCGCCTAATTGTACTTGCCTAATTGTGCTTGCGGGGATTGAGCTTTGGCTCTTTGGGCCCGCCTCTCAACGGTCAATCAACTGGTGTACAGATTCCTGAGCCTACTGGCTCTATCATATCTACATTTGAAACTGTGTATGGAGTCAGCCTCCACCACATCTCTGCCTAATGCATTCCACCTGTTAACTACTGACACTGAAAAAGTTCTTTTTAACGTCCCTGTGGCTCATTTGGGTACTCGGTTTCCACCTGAGTACCCAAATGAGTGTGTGTGTGTGTGTGTGTGTTTTCCACACTACTTTGGGACTTGACAAGTTTCCTGATGTGGCTGTGTAATAGTTTGACATGCCATTTGATTTATTAGCTTTCATTTTCAAATGGCTTTTTCACTAATGAATTGATCGATTCATCATGATGTATATTTATTCCAGGCCCCTTCTGAATTATTTGTTTCCCACCATTCTTTGTGCTTTGGCAATTTTTTGTTGATTCCTGTTCCTCTTTCACTCATTCAGCTGGACTGAATCAGTTTGTAGCTTTGTGCCGTACTGTTTTCCAGATTGGATTCGCTTATGCCCATGTACTTGTTGCTCTGTAACCCAGCTTCAACTAAGTAATTAAAGTGTGAAGATGCAGATATTGCTGGCTTCTGGTGTAACATTTGAATCTATTTTCCTGATGATTGTCAGATGTGGATGTTAGATTTAATTGTTTGGGGGTATTGGTATGTGTTTGTAATTATTTAAGTTAAAAATACCTGAATGAAGGAACAGGATGATATCTGTGTTTGTGAGATCCAGTCTATCCTATAATCATTGGCAAAGAACGTTTTTGAAGCTTTCGATGATTTTGGTATGTCCTCCCGTCTCTTTAAATTAACTTGACACTTTAATTTAATAAATTAATTTATTCTCTGCATCTACCACTGTTTGCAAAGTTTTCAACACCTCTGTTGGATTCATGACCTCTTGTTTTTGACGTTACTTTCAGCCCTTTAGCACGAAGAGCTTGGGGGTAGAGGAAGGAAGGGTATCTGGGGTGGGGGGATGGGAGGGAGGAACTTTGCACTGAGAGACTGTATGTGTGAAGGGTAGAGAGGGAGGCAGGGTAAGTGAGTTTATAGGTGTTGGGAGCAGTGGGTGGGTGTGGGTGGCATGAGCAAGTAGGTGCATGGGTGTAGGTGGGGTGACAGGTAGGCTCTCACAAAATCACACGATTTGTACAAGACCAGATCATATTTAATCTGTTGGTGGGGTGGGAAGGTGTTTACTCGTGAGACAAATTACAAAGTGGTCGACTAGCAATATGGTATTCATGTATTTTCATATATTTATTCATGTAATTAGACCACTCTTCAAAAACAGTTAACTTTGACAAGCAGGCTAACGTCATCATTCAAGTTAAATGATATGCTTTGATTTGTATGTCTCAAAAATGATTGGTTTTATGAGGATTTTTGGTGGCCAGGGAATGCATCCTCTAGTGGAAAGTCCCACTTCACATTGCAAACAAATGCTTTAGGAACACATTCTCAGGACATAACTCGTTCGTAGTGACAGGACTGTCTGTACGTATATCAGAAGACACCTTGTTATGTTGGATGCTGTGGGTACCCAACATAACATGTAGGATAAAGTCACACTTGTGTATATGTAAAATTTATATAAGGAATTACACCAAGTCCTTACATTAAAAAATGAAATAAATGTGTAAAGATATCTTTATGGCAACTCCTGCCCCACTTTTTCCTGGGTGTAACCTCAACTGGGCAATTGCTCCTTGAACATGCAGGAGTCGCAATGTCGTTGTGAGATTTCCATGCTTTATCACGGCCAAACTAAGCCGCATTGTTTTAATTTTACCATGATCAGGCCACGAACTTTGACAATGTTAGAGGGAATTTTGCCCCCACCTCCTCCCCTGTGCACCAAGGCATTGTTTAATATGAAGGGGCTCAGGCCAGGTGTTAAAAGTTCACACTCACATCTATAACAGATGTACTGCAGTTTGGGCATGATGCTCACATTTTTCCTTTTTCAGGTACACTTTACGTGGCAAGGTTCGTGATGATATTGGAGGTGCCAAGCTAAGTTTTGAATTGGAGGTGTGTCGAGTGCCACGTCTTAATGTTGTAGGCATCAGGCGCAAGAGACTGAAAGGTGATGCCTGGATCTATAAAAGAGTGTGCGAGGAAATATTGCGGCTTGCTCAGACCACCACCTCAAATAACACGCCGCCTACCTCCTCCACAGCAAACACTCCTGCAAATGGTTCTTCCTGTGTTGATCAAACCAATATCATAACTTAATATACATGATGTTCTTAATACACTTAAACTGGGGATAATCATTTACAATTAAAATCAGGTTCAAGTAAGAAAGAATAATATATATATTATGCATGCATCCAGAATGTTACAAAACACGTGAGCTTGAATTACAAGAATAATCTATGAATTGGAAAATAGTGTTAGTACCATTGTGTCCTGAGGGACCTTGTCCAAAGCAAGTTCTAACAAGGCTTCTCACGTAGAAAAGGTACCAAAACGTTTCCCCATACACATTTTATTCTTGTGTGTGTGTGTGTGTATATATACACACACACAAGTACAGTATATGTATGTATGTGTGTGTGTGTGAATTTTGAGTTTTGGAATAATATTGAAAGTCATTTAATGTGCAGCTTACATTCGTAGTGCATAATTAAAAGTTTAAATAATGTAGATATACTCATTCCCTTAGTCATTTTAATAAATTTATTTTTAACTGAAGATAGCCTTCATCTTTGCATCTTGGCTTGAGAAGTGAAAGTAGTGAGGTAATTGTACTTACTAATACACACAAGGAATTTGTCAGCATCCTTGACATGTTATTTCCTCAGGGAGTTCCCTTTCCTTAAGAAGGGTATATTCTACTCTTTCTCCTCAGCCATCCTGGAAGTCAGGAGTCCTTGATTAGCCTTGACCACTAAGGGTTTCTACGGTTTTCAGACTTTTTGAGGAGACTTTGAAGTATTTGGTAAGATATTTCTTGCAGTAAACGAGGGCATGTTGACAAATGAATGCCAGTCCTTTGATTTGAAGGATAACAGAATTTGACAAAATACCTGGCGTTTTAAAAATGAGGCGGCAGGCAACAAATTTTACTAGATTTTTTTTGTGTTGTGATTTATTAACAGTATGAACATCCATTATTGTTTAATAAATTGATCAAACTTAAATCGTAAGTGCTATCCCACTTGGACTAAAAGAACTTGAAGATGCATTACTGGGAGCACTCTAAATATAGTTCATTGTATGAAGGGAAGAGCAATAACGTATCTGCTGAACCTTTTTTTTTTTCTGGCAAATGCTGTGAATTTAATGGATATTTTACATTCAGTATGTATTAACTTCAGAACTTTTGGCATCTCTGGACTCTTCATTTCTTTGAATAGGTGGAGAGATATATATATATGTATGTGTGTGTGTATTTTTTATAAGTTGCAGAATTTGCTTTTTAGTAAATTTTTTTAAATAATTACTTTCTTGTGCATTTATAGGTAAATTCAACTTGACATTTATTATTCAGATTTTTAATATTTTGAACTACAAATATGACAACTTCACCTATCCTAAATATTTTGATTATTCCTAATATTGCCTAATTTCAGTAAAAGTTTATCAATATTAAGTAATAACTTAATTATTGAAATATCATTATCACAATATTTGATGAAAAAATCCTGTAAAGATAGTGCAAAAATAAATTAGACACTGCTTTTGCAAGCCGTTTATTAGCAGAACGGTCGGACAATTTTGCCTAAAAAGCGCAATACAAAAAATATTTATTTATTTTACAGCAGTACTCTTCAAATACCTGTAATGTGAAGTATCTTGATAAACAGCATACTGTTATTCAGATAAATTTTGCTCAATTTGAATAATATGTAAATCTATGAATATTTAGTGTATAAATAACCCAACACGTGAAATTAAAAGTGGTGACGTTTCATTCTGTCTTGAACACTTGCCGAGTTGTTGTGACGTGTGTCCAGGAAGGCACAAAAATGTTACCACTTACATTTGTCATACATTGTGTGGGTTACCTACCTTGAGGTTACCGCGAGGTGATTCAAGGGCTCAGCGACCCCGCGGCCCGGTCGTCAACCAGGCCTCCTCGTTGCTGGACTGGTCAACCAGGCTGTTGGACGCGGCTACTCACAGCCTGACATATGAGTCAACCTGGTTGGGGGAGGGGGGTGTGTTTTAGCCACAATAGTGTTTACATTTAGAATATAGTAGGATTATTTTTCTCGCCTTGTTTTAGGGAAATGATTTTTTTGTTCTTTGGTAATAGTGTTTAATTGAAGAATAGTTCTGTTAATATTATAATGCCTGTGTTAATAATAATAATAGATTCATTATTATACTCTATTTTTCATGTTTTGTATAGTCAAATTATGTAGATTCCAAATGCTCATTAAATCGGTTATAAGTCTCGTCATATATTTATTATACTGCAGTTTTAAGAAAAAATATTAAAACTCATGATGTGTGTATTACTGTACTAACATGGGAAGGAAGCCTAATAAATATCATAGTATTTGCTCTTGTAAGTTACAAGTTAACAAGATACCCAGGGTGTGTGTACACACACACACGTACACACTGTAGGTATAAATATTTTGGGACAATTTGTGCAAATTTGACATAGCTTAATTTTTTTGGACTATAAAATGTGGGAGCCATTGCTTGTGCCACAGCCAGCATGTTTTTTGCTGACATGTCGGCTGGTAAATTTTTTTACTGCGGGATTTGCTGCGATAATTACATGGATTTTAGTGTGAGGTCTAACACATACAGGTAAGGAAATTGTCCAGTTAAATAATCACTGAAAAATTTAATCTGTTTTGTACATACTGCTTGTCTGATTTGACTATGTATATATATATATACGTGTAATGCATGTGTATACTGTAAGTATATATATATTAGTATATTTTGATAGCAGTCTTTCCTGCAGGCATATACAGTATTATTGAATGTGACAAAGGGTGACATCAATGAATCTAGAAGAAATCGTCTCTATTTTCCTTATATTTTAATTCACTTGAGAAGGAAGTTTAAATATTAACTCCAACGTTCATTTTTTAGTTTTATTTGGCCTGACGCTAAGAATTGTTTCATTTTCTTTGGACAATGTTGAATAGAAATGATTACAAATTGTCTTGGTGTATCATATGTACCCAGAGGATGAGGCGAAGATCACATCACTTGTAACTCCACTGTATGTTGCTACTGTCCTCTTTGCATAATTTCTGTTGTGTTTTGGCCACCCGAGAGGTGGCATGGGCATGAATAACCCGTAATTTGTGTGTTTGGTAGATAATATATCTGACATTCCACCAACACCTACCGACTGTCAGGTAGTTAGTACCACAATCTGCCAGCTGGATATCATAGTATTTGCTCATGTAAGTTACAAGTTAACAAGATACCCAGGGTGTGTGTACACACACATATACACACTGTAGGTATAAATATTTTGGGACAATTTGTGCAAATTTGACATAGCTTAATTTTTTTGGACTATAAAATGTGGGAGCCATTGCTTGTGCCACAGCCAATTGAAGAATAGTTCTGTTAATATTATAATGCCTGTGTTAATAATAATAGATTCATTAAATATTTAGTTTAGTAGGAGTTGGAAACATCAGCACCTGGGAAGTACTCTGCCCCTGCCCCACAGTAAAAGCTACTGAGAATGCCTGTCGCTGCATCCCCGAACTTTATGAAAAAATCTATATTCCTAATATGCTTTCAAAAACGACAGTCAAAGCTATTGGCTGCGTTCTTTACCAGTGGAAGCTGATGGTGTAGTGGTTCAACCTCTCCTTGTGATACCATAGTACAGTACTTAAGTCACATAATGCTCATAGTTGCTATGCTGCTAATGCTCATAGTTTTCCTGTGGTAGATTTACAGTTACTAGCTATCACCAGGCACCAACCTTTCCTCACATACCATAGCACCTGTCCCATTGCCGTAGACACCAGGATAGTCTGTTTGGTTAATTTTGAACGATAATTGTAATTTTCCATTCCCACTTCTGGTGTTGTGCTTGCGGGGGTTGAGCTCGGGCTCTTTGGTCCCGTCTAATTTGTCAATCAACTGGTATACAGATTCCCGAGCCTATTCCCTCTATCATATCTACATTTGAAACTGTGCATGGAGTCTGCCTCCACCACATCACTGTCTAATGCAATCCATCTGTTATTTTTAACGTCCCTGTGGCTCATTTGGGTACCAAGTTTCCACCTGTGTCCCCTTGTTTGTGTCTCACCAATGCTAAACAGTTTATCTTATCTACCCTGTCAATTCCTCTGAGAATTTTATAATTTTTTTTTTTTGGCAGGGATATTCCTGCGTGGGCCCTAAGCTTCTGACTGGGCCACTAAGTGTTACTTGATTTTGTTTTCCTTGGGTGGAGTATGAGTATTTATGACTCGTATGGTCGCTACAGTAAGATTTTGCCCCGTGTGTTTAACAACTTTTGCTCTGTCGAATCTAAGTTGAAACCTTAATGTGTTTGTAACTGTGCACTGTGTTAGATAATGTTCCAGTGGTCTGTCGGGCATTTCTCCACAGTGTTGACATTTCCTCTCATCTTCCGGAACCTGTAAGCCCATTTCCCATGCACATGGGTATCCAAGCCTAATATGATGCGAGTGTACTTATGTTGTTGTTCTGCTCCCTTTCATCGAAGTAAGTGGTTTTTAGAACTCGTGTGGTACGTGAACTCGTGTACCAACTCAGATCCTGATGTTGCAACTGCTGTGTTGTGGTCAATATATATTATGCATTACTCTGTTTCTAATTACTTTCTTAATCTGTGATAGACTCTGTGGTGTATATAAATCTACATTTCGTCTCTTAGTTGCAAGTTTTGTAGCTTCACCTGCAATGTCATTTCATACTATTCCCACATGACTTTGCACCCAGTTGATATAGGTAGTGATCATGTCTCCCATAAATTTTCAGTCTTCCAGTGTCGTGAGGTTCAGTTCCAGTAATCTTTCCTCATAACTCATACTTCTCAGCTCGTGGACTAACCTGGTGGCATACCTCTGAACCTTTTATAACTTCGTTTTGTGTTTGATTAGATGTGGATGCTAGGATGGAGCCCCATATTCCAATATTGGTCTGACATGATGTATACAAGGTTGGTTAGTTTTGTTCATTTATTATGCACTCCATACCCATATTGTGGGCGGTGGTAGAAAGGGTTACAGAGGCACGTAATGTACTCTGGGACTGAATTCAACAATTCATTTAGCTAAGAAAGTTACAATCTTGATGAGCTAGTTACAAAATTCAATGCACATCACATCAACAATGGGTTCGAGTGTGACCACAAGTACAGTTTCTAAATTAAGCAGCTGACATGTGGAGAGCTAATGTCACAATATCCTGCACATCGCCCCGCCCCTCATCCAATGGGCAGTGGTGGATAGGTCACAATCACACTTAAAACCTATCTAGGGGGGCCGATGGCTGAGTAGACAGTGCTCCTGACTAGACTCGTGGATCTAGAAACCGGGGTTCGATCCCCGCCGCCGGCGAAAACCAAATGGGCATAGTTTCCTTCACCTTAATGCTCCTGTTACCTAGCAAGGGCTGCTTTCTTGGGGTGTGAGTGTGTGGGGGGGGGGGGGAAATAGTAGCGACAGTTGATTGACAGTTAAAGACGGGCCGAAAGAGCAGATCTCAACCCCCGCAAGCACTAGGTAAATAACAGTTAGCAAACTGGGGATATTTGGCTAAGATTTCTGATAGATCATCACTATGAATGAAAAAATATTTACACATCCCTTGAACATTTTCTATAGTATTGTCTGAATTCACGTATCTTTCGCACTCCGTCACATGTGACGGAGGGTGTGAATAATTTTGTCGACAGTTTACATTTGGTCAGGTCTACATCAGCGTATACAAGGTTCTGAATGATTCCTTACAAAAGTTTCTGAAGGAGAAATTTGCGTAATTTTTTCCATCTTATCGAACTTCATAGATCAGCTACATCCTATTGAAGACTCGTAGTTTAGTTTTGAGAAATCTTGGTAGTTCTCAGTAAATTATTCCATGAATTATCTGTAAATATTTCAATTTGCGCCAAATTATAATATGTACAATAAACTCTAAACAAGAAAGAAAATGGATCGTTTATTGTTTATTCAAATCAAATCAAATGAAATGTTTATTCAGGTAAAAGTACATACATAGAGGATTAGTTACAAACATAATGTTGGATTTATAGATAGAGGTAGTACATAAAATACCTAAAGCCACTAGTACGCATAGCGTTTATTAAAGAAAACGAATAGGGTAGGGTACATTCCATGCTCCAAATTTAGCTAAATCCTTTGCTCGTAAGGAAGGGAAATGATTACCATCTCTGATTGCCTCTGAGCAGCCTGAGGGCAGCGATATTCCGAGAAAATCTAGTTGACTTCAGGTGACGTTAAATAATGAGTAATAATCGTTATTATTATTAAAATTATTAATTAAGACTTAGAGTTCATCTATGAACATGGCTACCACCTATGGCTCCTTATTTTAGTATTTTGGATGA